AGAGGTAGCAAAACATGTGCAATGTCTAAAAATTTGTGTTCGTATGTAATTAATACAGACCCCACAATAAAAATGGTGAAAACAGTATGACATTAAATGTTAAATTAACGTAATGCAATGTCACACGATTCATCTATGTGAACCTATCAAATTTAATCACCTAATGGCACGAGATAGTATTATTCGTTAATTAATGGGTTAGAAAAATAAATTAAGGTTTCTCATGAATAAAGGGCATGTTTGGGTTGGGCTTTTAAAAAAAAAAGAAAAAATCAAAGTTTGAGATTAAGAAATTATTTTTGAATATGTTTGAATAATTTTTTAAAAATGTTGAATAAAAGAACTTTTAGAGAAAGTTGATACAAAGTAACTTCTTCAAAAAGTATTTTTATAAGAAGTAAAAACATAAATCCTGCCATATGGATCCAAATATTTTTTTATTTTTCTAAATAAGAAAGTTGAATGGAGGAGAATTGGTCTTATGTTACACGCCTTCTATGCTGATACATTTCGTTTTGTGCATGTTCTTAGATGTCAATAAAAATAGCGTCCTCTCATATTGATCGTGAACATAAATCATGATATTGTTTTCGCATTCTTATTTGCACTAGAAAACCGATCCACAAGAATTCAGGTACCAAATATATATATACACTATGAAAAATCGTAAGTAATTGCATTGAAGGGAAGGTGGAGTTTGCTAAGTACCACAATACCTCTAGCCAAGTAACATTTTTTTCTCCCTATCAACACTTTTTCGTTAGTTGGTAAATTAGGTGAGCGCGGAGCCCTTTGGTATCAAGTTCGATTCCTTCTATCAACATTTTCTCAATGGAGCCTGTCGCACCAAGTTTGCCTAGTGCGGTTTACTTGACTGACGTGATTTACAGGCTATTGCGTCAGTCCGAGAGTTTACTCAGTGCACATCCGAAGGTTAGCGGTTGCTGGTTCTTCTGTCAAAAAAAAAAAAGGTTCCATTTTTTCCCCTTACATGCCATTGCAATTTATATAATTTAGTGTTATAAGAATGAACAATCATGCTACATATTATATAATTTAGCGTTATAAGAATGAACAATCATGCTACATATCTAGGTTCAAATTTCAATGGGATATGTGTCGACGCATAATTGGATAGTTTGAAAAAATAAAACAAAAATACCCAATCATCTTCTAACATATCAATCTGTCCTGTCATTCCTTGTTTTAATGCTTGATTAAGTAGTTTTATTCAAAAATGAAGCCAAAAAGTCATGACGCAGATCTCTACAGTAACAAGTGGTTTTGGGAACGTGTTTGTACAATGTTCATATTCTTCCCTGTAGGGACCTGATCGTGTCAGCTTCATATACTGTGAGACCCATTGCCAAAAGACTCTTTCAAGTTTCATCTTCATTTCTACCCCCCTGGACCAGGTACAGAAGAAAAAATCCCCACATTTTTTGGTGAGAGAAAGTGGCTGAACAGGTCAAATTTTGCCGTAGTGTCACATCCACGTGTCTTATCCTCATTACTAGTGAAATCGAAATCCTGTTGCGGCCATACAATATAATTAGGTGGTGTACACAGACCATCCCTAGTGGACCATATTTGTTTAATTGATGATGTAGATGGCTCAGTTGAATCTTGATTGGCATGTAGTTTGGTTCAAAAACAGTTCGACTACTGGGCAAGTTGCAACATCTTGCAAGACTGGCACTTTTGAGCCCATATAATACCTAATGGTTCCTACGAGACTTTGGAACCACAAACCCCAAAGTGCTGATTGATGTGATAATACAGACAAACTTTAAACCATACCTCGATTGGTAATCTCATATAAATGCATCCCCACATAATTTTTTTCGAGTTTTTCCACGTATCACATAATTAATTTAATTAAACATATCAGGTATGACCATTGAGACCGATGTTCTAACAACAATGATACTAAAAGAACCTGTTTAAGAATGATTTTAAGAATTGATTTTTTGACCGTTAGGAGAAAAGTAAGGTCCACCTGTGAGAAAAGAAGTCAAATATGACGGCTGAAATAGTGAAATAACGGTCAAAAAATCAATTTTTTTGGTGAAAAAATCGCTTCCAAACAGACCCTAAAATAAAATCATTCAATTTTTAAAATATCAAAAGTTAATTAAAATGTTACTTTTTAATTTGTTTGAATAATATTCCACGAGCATTTTGTCTGGCCATAAGCGTGTTTAAAGAAATTTGATTTGACGTGATTTTATTAAGAAGCTCTTTTATAAAATAAAAACATGCCCTAAACTTTATGATATTTACGTTCCAAACAAGTTTAAAATATATGTAGTGGGTGTACACAGAGTAAGACCTGAACGCAAAATCCTATTAAAACTTTGTACCTGAATACCAAAAAAGGAACATTGCTTGTTTAACTTGACTACTTAGAAAAACTACTAGCAAATGTTAGGCAGATGGCTTTTAGTCTTATCTGAAAGAGACTATTAATATAATTAAATTAACAATAAGAAGACTTAATTAGTGTAACTTTTTGTATCTGTTTCAGTAGAGGAAACATGAAAATCAAACTAGGAAATTGGACCGGTCACATCTTTGTCCGCTTTCTTAGTCCAAATCCGAAACTAATGAAATATTTGATTTACCATGTAACTGTAGTTACGAGGTTGAGGGTAGTGGACTTGACCCATGTCGAGAGATTTACCATGTATCTGTAGTTACGAGTTTTACCATGTAACTATAGTTACGAGGTTAAGGGTAGTGGACTTGAGCCTGGCTCGACATGGGTCAAGTGGTCAAGCATCAGGTGTCAACAAACTCAGGCTCAGGCTCGGGTTCGAGTTCTTCTTCTTTGCATTCCATGTTCACCCCAAATAACCTCAGTTTCTTGGAGTTCCCACTGCTTGTTGTATGATTCTGCATTGCTGATCCTGTAATAACCACACGTGCGGCATGTTTCTCATCAAAAAATGATCAAGCATTTTTCTATCTGTCAACACACACACGTGGCAGTGCAGCTACATAAGAATTGTACTATTGTCTATAGCAAAATGTAACAAATTGGGTACAACCATCTGCAGTGCACTAAAGTTCGATAATACTAAGAATTTCCTATTTTCCCTAATCATTTGATCTCGAGGTAATTAAATTAAAACCCTTAAAAGATGTAAAATAAAATCATTGTTCTAAAAATGTTCGCCTTGATGCAAGGCTTGATAGTTAGCCACACTTTCAATTTTGATCGTGTAGCTTAGTATCAAGAATTAAAAAGCAACAGTTCTGGTGATAAAAACTTTCAATGCTAATTCGACAAAATAACCTAAATTATGCGAAAAGACAGTCCAAGGGGAAAGCAATACTGGGCTTCAATGGAGAACAAGGAAGTGTTCATCCCGCACATCTACTGCATGTAATATGTATAAATTAGGAAAAAAAAACAAAAATACAAAAAAACAAAAAGATGAAGTTTTTAATGTAATGCACAGAAAATGATACCTGCATGAAGACAGTCAGGTTGGTACGGGAGAGTAATCCCTTGCTGCTGGGTCAGATAAGGATGGCCAGAATAGAAATGGGTCCACCCACCACCACCACCTCCTCCACCGACACCACCATGGGCAACCGTAGCCGGTAGTGGAGAAACGTTTTTCCGCCTCCAACCTATGAAAAGCCGGGTACAATCCAAACGGTGGCGCTGGAAAAGAATAACATCGCCAGCATCAAGCTTTTTTTCCTTAACAAAACGGCTCCAGCCTTTTGTTAATACATAGCTTTGACTGCTGTTCCAGTAAGAGTAGCGGAACCTCCATGATTTTCCAAGTTCATCCTCAAATCCCAATAGGAAACCCTTATCTCCCGAGTCACCGCCGTTGAGCGGAAAGTATTTTTCAGCGTGTTGTTTTGGTATAACAAGACGGTTTAGCTTGCCCACATCACTAGGAGTCAATGGCTTCTCAAATAATGTTTCTTTGGGAATTTCTTCTTCTTTTGAATAGTTCTCTCTCTCACCTTCAAATTCTTCTTCATCCTTGTTTAATTTGAACCCGAAAGCTGTGTTCTGGCTGATAAACATGTCGGTGGAGGCAGTGGTAGTGGTGGTTGGTTGTGTCCACCAGTATCCTTCTGAAGAGTATTGGTTTATTGACATTTTAGAGAGAGAAGAGAGAGTGTCTTAGAGAGAGGAACACTGTGTGTTTGTGGGTGTGGTGATGAATCTGAAATTTCTGAATGAAGTTGGAGAATGGGCAGGGATTTGTGATTATTGTTGGCGTGGAAATGTACTGGCAGCAGGTGGAAATATGGACATATAGAAACAGTTAAGTGTATGTATACGCAGAGATAGAGGAGGGTGGCATAGGTGGGGTGCAAGTACGAGGGGGTACTTCAAGGTTTTGCGTGAGAGGAAAAATCAATCATTATATTGAATGCAATCCACTGTACAACTTTCTATGGCTACACGGAAATTAGGTTCATGAAAACTAGTGAATTTGACGCACCCCATACAAGTCTTGGAAAATTACAAATGAGATCCCTAACCTATTGAAAATGTAGTAAGTTGATCCCCACTTTTCTTTTCAATCTTTCATTTCGGAAATAGTTAGTCCCTGTTTAACAATTTCACTTACGTTAACGAATAATGCTGTGTGTACAAGTTGAGGATAATTTTTATGTGAAGTGATACTAAATGAAAAAAATTTATTAACTTTATGTTTAACGAACCTTATCATTTCACCAAGCATATATGAGATGATCCTCACTTTGTTTATATAAAGCCTTATTTCATGTCAAATTCAAACATAATTTTCATTTTTCGTAAATATTCAACTTTAAACTTGTTTTTAAATGAACAAAAGTAAATGAATGAATAACAAAGATAAAAGTAAGGGTTGTTGGAATTTATATTTTCTTTAATTGTAAATAATGATAAATCGTTTTACTTATAAAAATTAAGATTTTAACCTATAACAATGATAAAATTGTCCATTTCAATAAAAAGATGATCAATCCTCTTTTGATTACCTATAATACGGGCCCAATTGCCAAAAGGACAACTAATGCGGGTCTAAACATCAAAATATATGACTAATGCAAGTTTAGGCTTGAGAAGGTGAGCACCTTTTATTATTTTTATGTTAAATAAACTAATTTAATAAACCGTATTATTATTAATAACCTTAAAATAATTGAAATATGGAAACACCCTATTACGCTTGGACACATTTAGCAGAGTAAGGCTTGAGAGTTGATCTTGTTGTATTGTCACATCTAACACGTTTTAGAAACTGAAACTAAATAGGCGGGGTTTAAAAGGAAGCTACAAGAATAGAGGCTCATCTAGCACAATAAAGTACAACCTCGTAGAAAGCACAAAGAATCTAAAATTGAATGAGGTAGAAGTAAAAACCAAAAAAGCTCGGTTGTAGACCTTGACAAACCTTGTTTTTTTTTTTTTTTTTTTTTTGAATCTTAGGTTGAATATTCGAGTGCTACAAAATAAAACGTTGAAGACTGTAACTGCAAGAATAATAAATTGATGATCTACTTGTTATATTTTCAGTAGATTGGAAACCCAAACTACAATTTCTCTAATTGTATCATGAATCTTGTGAAAGAGAGAGATTCTAATTTCCATCTTAGAAACCCTACCCATGTTACTACGTTTGCTATCAGATCAAGTGGCGGGGTTTATTGTTATTTTGAAGGAAGAGCTTGCACATTTGATTATGTGTGCGTATATATTTCTTTGTTTTTGCTTTGCATTAGATTATATTCGTCTAGTAATCATTGTGCACAAGGGTAGACACATGTATGCAATAACGAGAACCATATTTATTAGGAAAATGTTGGGGGCAATTATTTCATGCGTTTAAGTGTTAGGTAATCGAGTATTTTTAGTAATAATTTAACCATAAACAATAAGGATGACGATTTGAATATAAATGTCTAGTCGACTAAGTCTATAAAAAGTCGTACCTCATAGTAAATGATCAGGAGTTTATAGAGGAAAGAGGGTTTGCATTGATATGAATCAAGAGTCTAGCCGGTTACTATAAATACCAAGAGTTTATAAAATTGTTTGGAAAGTGTTTATAAACAATTTGAAAAGTATAATTAGAAAGAAATTGAGTATTGAATAAATGGATAATACCTATAATTCTTACAAAATTGATGAATAAAAAGTGATTTGACCATTTATAAGCACATTTCAAGTACGTGTGAGTAGGTGAAAGAGGTCATAATATTTTTTGAATATCCAGATAGAACATAACTTATCTTACGGGTTCTGGCATGTTTCATTTGCATACCTAAAATTATAGAACTTCAATCCTTTAATGGAGCGTGGAACACATTGATCTCGAGTTTTGTGCTGACTTTTGAATATAACAAATTTTAACTCTCTTCTTCTTAGCTAGAGTGCCTCAGTTTCATCAAATGTAGGGTCTAATGGTAATATTTATCACGTGCATGGCATCAATCGAATTAGAAGTTGTTTGACAAAGTTTTTGATGAAAGTATTGATAAATTTTGTTAAAAGCTAATGAAATATGTGATTTTATAGTTAATAAAACTTTGAAATCTTATAAAATATGTGATTAAAATTGAAATATGATCAATTAAAAATTCGATAAAATTTTGTTGGAACAAGCCCTTAATGTGAGGCCATTCCTATTGTAACTATGGGCTAGCTAGGGATAAATCCAAAGATCCAATCAGTGATGGATCCAAGTGGTGGCGAGCTAGGGTGGATGCCCTAGCTGGATCCTTTGAGAACTTTTTTTTTTGTTGACAGTAGTTGATAAACATTCTATATATATATATATATATATCTGATAATTCACATTTGTTTTAAAGATCTCTAGCAGCTCATTTAGTTGGAGCCTTTACTTACAAAATTGAGGTGCAGGGTTTGAAATTTTTACTAACCAAATTTATTGCACAAATTTTATAGTTCTTCAATTTTTACTAAAATTAATGCAATAGAGGTGGGATTCGAACTTGTGACATATCATTAAGGTTATTAAAAGTTTAACCACCCCATACTCAATAAATTTTAATACTAGATGTAACAGAATAATATATATTTTTTATTTTAGTTGTTTTAATGCAATTACGCGAATTTGAACTTATGTTCTCTCCTTTGAATTACAGAAACCTGCCAGTATATTATTTGGTGAAATCCATAATTTTATGTAACAAAAACATATATGTTCAATTTTTTTCAAAATAATTATTATATTTATTTTTTAATATTTTATTACGGTCAACGGTTGATTTCCGTCCGTGCTCACTCAAAATTCTAGATTCGCAACTGGATCCAATCCATTGGCTAATTTCAAACAATCAGAAAAGAGATAAGATTTGTCCAATCCATTGGCTCACTCATTGCATTTGTGTCCCAATTCTCTCCTCATCTATCGCTTTGGCATATCTCTTCCTATAACAGAGAATGCATGTGCAATAAAATTCTTACAAAATTGCATTTTTAAGATGAGAAAAATTATTATTTTATAGGTCATGTCACAAATTTATTAACTTCAAGGAGTGTTAAATTGGACTTGGATCTCCAAAAAAAATGATCTAGATGACAAATTTTGTTTTACTAACTATAGTTTAGCATATTCATATTCAATTTATACAACTCACTTTATGTTGTCGCGATGTTTCGATTGGATTTGATCATTTTTTGCTCTAAAAAAAATCATTTTACTGTAGTATTATGCATATCAAAAAAATTTCAAAATTTTTTAATAAATTTTAAAAATGTTATTGGAGCGATCCCTTGGATTGGGGACAAGGATGAGATTTTTGAGGACAAGGATGACTCTTCAAATGATGATATTTTAGGAAAATACATATTAAATATTAAATGAAACCCGCAGGTTCATGAAGCCAACCTGTGAGCCTTATTTACTCATGTCTATATCTATATTTATTTATTTTGTACCTACATGTTACTGAAAAAAATTAAATAATCGACATCGGTACATGTGAAATTGGGGACCAATTTTTAGTATCAAGTAGTCTTGATTGTTGTCAAAATTATTGCTATAAAATATGGATTAGTTTATCATTTCAGACAGTATCAATGCCATGCAACAACATTAATTAATGACTATAAAAGAGCCAAGAACAATGAACTACAATCAAATTATTGATATAAATTTCCATTTTATTTTATTTTTTAATACATCGGAGTAGTTAGATTAAGAGTACATTATAAATTTATCAGAGCTATAGAATCTGGATTTATTCTTTAATACGATTTGATTACACGTAAAATCGTTAGTTTCATTGAACACAACTAAGGTGTATTTAGATGTAGTTATCATAGTTAAGATTTTTGGATTTGTAATTAAGCAATGTATAATGCTACATTTAATGTTGTAAGCATATTTGATTTTAACACTTGATATTGAGCGTCAACACTTTGAGAAGTCAACTTCAATTCATTATTTTAATGTAAAAGAAAATTTCGAAATAAAGTTTACTCAATTTGATTTTCTACCACTTTCCTCTTAAGTTTTTCTAAAGTGTTATCGTGTTTATTCCCTATTTGGTGCAGTTTTAAAATTAATAAAAACTTGAGTTAAAAAATCAACAATTAATTTTAACGATATTTTATTTTATGGAACCCATAATCAATTTTTACAAATCTATTAACAATCTGATTTTTACTCAAACATGGATTTAAATTTTTTCTACTTGTGCAAGAAAGAATATCACAAAAAAGTCTTTTTTTTTCTTTTTTTTTTTTTTGTAATGAGACATATCTGACATTAAGAACAAAATAAAATATTTTTAATATAATAACATGTCAAATACATCACTCCATTAATAGCATATATAATTGAAAATTACATGGCGGTGTAGATCGTTCTTCGTTGATGTAGTATAAGTTTGTGATAGTAAATCGACAAAAATATAAATTGAAGAAAGCTAAGCCAAGCTTGAATATGCCAACTCTAAAAGAAATTGATAGATACACACCTAGCATCGAATTTAGTCATAAAATCCAACTTGAACCACGGTGGAGACCAACTCATCACCAAGCCACAAAAGCTGGCATAACTTGTGCCATTACCATCATGTATATTACCTTAAATCTCGACAACGCATCAATTTAAATAGAACTTGGTGACAACATATGACAAAAATAGTAAAGCTTGATTAATCGAAAGAACAAAGGATATGACATTGTGTCTCAATCACATGAACAACTATTTTCCGTCGTTGCAACATCTTTCAACATTCGCCGACTAAATAGTTGGTGTGACATGTCTGTTCACCTACCAAACAATTGATATGAGAAAACTTTTACTATTCTTTTACCCGATAGCTGTAATTCTTATCTTTTAAGGACTATTCTTGCTAAAAAATTTAAAAAATATATAGAAATAAAAAAAATCAGATCTTGAGCTAAAATAGATTTACATGATCA